AACATTTTTGGAGGATCTGAGTAACATAGGGACTAAGTCTTGAAAAAAAATATTATTATACTCATAGGTAACTACTACAAAGACGCGGTTAATTATATAACTAGAAGAGAAACGATATTTTCAACGTGCTCCTGAATTTTTTTCTGATTTCAGAAGAGCTTCCTTGATAGAGTACAATTGGGAAACAGTTTCAGTGATGTTCATTCTTTCAGCTCCAGAATATGCAGAACAAGCAACCCCGACTCGAAGAACAGAAACCAGATACTCCTTATTCTGGTAGATATTTGTGCTTTTACCTTTCTCATCTTCTTCACTTCCATAAATAAGGGATGGATCTATGACTTCCATAGCTCCATTAAGCAATGCATGTTTACTGAAACCTGGAAGGTCTAAACCATCCCTAAACATTCCATCAGTAGGCCTTTTTCCGGTGAACATTTCTAGTAAAAGGATCCCGAAGCTGTACACATCACCACAAGTCGATAGCTCGCTTCCCATCCCATATTCTAAAATTCACAAAAAGAAAAAACAAGGAACAATAGCTTTCTAAATAGGAACATAACTTAGTATGACTTGATTTTCTAAAAGTAATGGCAGTATGTGTGTAACAATTAAGAGATGGTTTATGATATTGATAAAGTAACTCTGTGGAAAAAAGTTATGGTTAAGCAGTGTGGTTTTGCTATGAATTTATCATTTTCAAGAAAAAATAGAAGAAATGAGAGAAAAAAAGGGCGTTCGAGTGTTTGTTTATGTATTAATTGTTACCTGGAGCAGTGTAACCAATTGTTCCTCTAACAAGACCAGAGCTTCCTTCTGAAGTAGAAGAATTTTGTGCAGTTGGTTGAAGGAACTTTGCCAAACCAAAATCACCAATGTGCCCGACCAATTGGTTGTCTAGAAGAATGTTGCTTGGCTTGAGATCACAGTGAACTATCGGAGTCTTGCAGTGGAGATGAAGATAATCGATTGCAGAAGCAACATCTATAGCAATGTTGAGCCTTTGAAGAATATTCAACTTTTTTGTTTCAGCTGCCTGACTTGTATCTTCACTTGGACTAGGATGCAACCAGTCTTCGAGACTTCCATTAACCATAAACTCATAAACCAAAGCCTTGAAATCGTTCCCTCAATAGTCAACTCCTGAACATGCTGTGAGAACCTTGACCAAATTCCGATGTCTAATGTTTCTCAAGACTTCACACTCAGCCATAAAGCTTTTGGAAGCTCCATGTCGCGTGAGGTTTAGCACTTTAACTGCGACAACCATTCCTCCATCGAGAGTTCCTTTATAAACAGATCCATAGCTACCAGCACCAATCAAGTTGTCTTCAGAGAATCCATTAGTAGCTTGAAGCAAACTTCGGTAAGACACATTTATGAGAGACTCACCCAATGAACTTGAAACAGGCAACCTTTTCGGTTTCTTTAGCAAGAAACAAAATAGAAAAGTGATAAGCATACCAAGGCCTAGTATACCAAAGACAACAGATATGACAATCTTGAGGATAAACCTCGAACCAAATTTTTTCGATCTTTTGATGTCACATTCCGGAAGATGTATGTCAGGCACACCCCCACAAAGTTTTGGATTTCCAATTACTGATATTGCACTTGCATTCTTAAAGACGCCTTCATTTGGTAATGCTCCTTCGAAATCATTGAACGATAAATTCAAGAGTTGAAACTTGAAATCTTCCAAGTATTTTGGTACTTGGCCAGTCAAATTATTTCTAGAAAGGTCTAAAACATGGAGACCTCGTAAAGAGCTGAAAGAAGGAGGGATAATCCCTTGAAAGAAGTTCCCTTTCATGTCTAAGGCTTCTAGTGTTACACAGCTACCAATAGTACTTGGGATTTTACCAGTCAACTTATTTACGGAAACATTAAGATATTCAAGATTTATCAAATTTCCAACTTCAAGAGGAATGAAACCATCTAAATGGTTCTCAGAAATGTCTACAGCAACTAAGGAAGAGAGAGCAAAAAGATCCTTAGGTATCTGTCCTAACAGGTTATTTTTAGCAACATATATTTCAATCATGTAATTGCAATTTCCTAAACTTGCTGGGATCTCACCGGTGAGATTATTATCGTGCAGAAGAAGGATGGATACTACACTAAGATTTCCTAGAGATGATGGAATATTCCCTGAAAATCTATTCTGAGACAAATCCAAAATTTGCAGTTTCTTAACTTTACCAAAATTGATTGGAATAGTACCAGTAAGTAAGTTTTCCCTCACCTGAAATTCTTCCACATTGACGAAATTTCCAATCTCAGCCGGTATGTTACCACGTATTCTGTTGTATGACAACTGCACAACCTGAAGCTCAGTTGAAAGATTTCTGAAGGATGCAGGCAGAACCCCTCCAAAACTATTGAACTGAATCTCCAAAATTCTGAAACGGGACACGTTAGTCAGAGAGGCGATGAAGCTTAGATCATCTGGTTCTCCAGTTCCAAGATAATTCCCAGGAATTGTCAACTGTTGAACCCCATTCAGGTTCTCAAGACTTGGTACACTTCCAGTAAGTTGATTTCTTCCAGCAAGAAAATACACTAGCTTTGATGAATTGGACAATGTAGATGGGATCGATCCAGAAACATTGTTCCCACCGATGATAAATAATTCAAGATTCGGGAGGGTGATTCCCAAACTTGAAGGAAGTGTACCTTGGATTTGGTTCATTCCAACATCAAATGTTGTGAGGGAAGATATGTTGAAGATTTCAGAAGGGATAGTACCTGACAAATGGTTTGCAGCTACTCCGATAATTTCTAAGTTTTTCAGCTGCCCAAAAGAGTCAGGGATTTTCCCCTGAAGATTATTCAATGGTGCATAGAATCCTATCAATGATGTTAAGTTTCCAAAAGAAGAAGGGATTTCACCTGTCAAGTTGTTTCGAGTGAGTAACAAGTACTCGAGTTTGGACAAGGCACCTAGCTCCGGAGGAAGGCTTCCTACGAACTTGTTACCTTCAAGGACAAGAGATACAAGATTCAAGCACCTTGATAAATTTGAGGGGATCTCTCCATGAAATGAGTTGTTACCAAGATACAATCGGTGTAGCCTTCTCAAACGACCAATCTCAGAAGGGATTTCACCACGGAAGCTATTGTTTGACAGGTATAGAGACCTGAGGAAACTCATGTTCCCAATGAAGGATGACAAGGGGCCATCTAGTTTTTGGTTCGCAACGTTTAGTTGAATGACTCTAACATGTTTACGTCCACAAGTTACTCCAGACCAATGGCAAAAGTGTGTGGATGCATTCCATGTTTTCATATATCCAAAAGGATCATTTATAGATCCCTTGAATGCAAGTAGTGCTTGTTGATCTGTGTCATTGCCATGACACAATGCCATAGAAAAACAAAGAAAACATGTAATGAAGAATAGAAGAGAACTACAACTGTTTACTAAAAGATTGAAGGAGAACAATGTTGAATCCATATGTGAATTCAGAAGCATAACAAACTTGGTAGTGTTTTTGCCTCTAAACACTTGAGAATATATAGAGGAGGCTAGCAACCTACACATATGGGCTAAGCTAGTATGCCGATCACGGATTTGACAGAACTCAGTAACTCACTTATGTTAAAAAAATTCACTCAATATGTATAAACATTTTATCAAGAATCCAATAAAAAAAATAATTTAAAATCGAGAATCCATAAACTCAAAATTCTAGCTCTGCCTCCGGCTAAACAACTTGTAGGAGTCCACAAGAAGGACAAGTTGGTATAGAAAATAAATGCTGTTATTTTGAGGCAACTACTGATCAGTTGACTATGATGTAATTCCCAAAGTCAACAAATGACTAATTGTCTTTCTTTTCTAGACAAGTTGACTATGACGTAATTCCCAAAGTCAACCTAATTAAAATCTGCTAAAACTTGTTCTCAACATGTTTTTAAATAGTTTAAGTTGATTATGATGCAATCCCCAAAGTCAAGACTTTAGAATCTGCTTAAAAAGGGTGTGTTTGGTAATGGTCAGAAAATGTTTTCCGATTTTTCCATGTTTGATTCGTCAAGATTCTTAGAAAACATTTTCTCTCCATTTCCTTTTCCTAAATTTTCCGTCTTAGAAATTCTTTAAAATTGATTTAAGTGGGGTTTATTTTTAAAAGGAAACTTAAATAATACACCAACAAAAGCTCACAAAAGTTGGAGTCCCCCTTGTTCATTCCTCTCTTATGGAGAAACAACTTATTGGGTCCATAATTTTTATAAAACCAAAAACCAATTTTATATTCGGAAACATTAATTTGACTGCTTTGTGAATCTAAATTTGATTTAAAAGTATTCAAAATGTGTCGAGTCAAACTACTTCAAGGAGAAAGTAACTTTTTTTCTATTCCCTTAGGGAAATACTTCTCCCTTGATGCATCAAATTAGTTCTTAATGCATTACAGCCTATTCTGTTTACAGCAGCTGACAAAACTTTGAGTCACTGGAGTTGCTCAAAGCATGTAAGCTATCCTCCCTCTACCTGCTCTGAAAGTCGGAAACAACGATCAGAAAACTGTGTTGAACCGCATCTGTCATGTTGTCACCACCCATTGACTCGATAAAGGACTGCCCTCGCGTCTTGCTGCCTTTAGCTTTCTCCTAATGGGAATGCCAGAGAGTTCACAATACTGAAACGGATAAATTTTGAACTCTCTGGCTAATTTTGGAAGGGTCGAAGTGAAGAGAAAGCACAAAAGAGCTCACATTTTCTACTGAAATGCTGATAATTAAGAACATCTTGCATGCTAAATAATGTAAGTTGAAATGAGGCCCAAATTAGATACTTTTTAGCAAAACATGCATGACTTTGTGATTTTGACTTTACATGTGAGCAGAGATATAGGCTGAGAGTCCATCGAAAACAGTCTCTCAACCTTCACAAGGCAAGGGCAAAGATTACACCAAGTAGCATAGTCTTGGAATGTAATTGCTAGGTGAAACTAAAACTGAATTGACAGAGGAAGATGTAACGTGCCAAGGGATAAAACATCAAAATCATGAAACACACGAGCGTGTTACAAACATGAAATAATTTCTCATTTGAGATTCTTGTTAATTCTCATACACAAACACACGAGTAATTGGAAGCTATTTGACATAGACCCTCATTCTCATACTTTGTGCTGATTCTTCGAATTACACTAAACAACAAAAACTATATAAGTATCCGTAGCAGATACTTACATACACATACATGTAGGCGAGTCCAAGCGACATAAATTGAAAGTAAACACAACCCATTTGTATCGAGGCCTCTTTAATATTTCATGCCTTTATCTGGTTTGGCTGCATTTTCTCCAGCAGAAATCAAGTTCTCATCAATCACTGGTGGGCTGAGTAAAGTCTCGAAAATCTGTTCATTGACAAGTTGCAGGGTATGTTTGAGATAGAGATTGTTGAACATGAAATTTGGAAGCATATGCAGAAACACCTACCATGGAAGGTGACTTCAAAACCAAAGAATCAGCTATCGCAGATGAGTTTGAAGGCCTGTGGAAGAGCAAATGAGCAATAGATCGATCTATAGAGTTTGTGTCTGTCTCCATGTCCAAATATCCTGTGCACCTGAAATACGATTGGATGTTAGGACCACAGAAAGGAAGCTAACAGAATCTATCACATTACCAGTATGATTACTGGTATCAAGAAAAGAAAAGTGCTGATTGAAGGTGTGACTGACTAGACCTACTTTCTTTCCAAACTCAAAGGTGAAAAGTGTGCTTCATAAGATCTATGCAAACTATGATATGCCCTATGTAGGAAGTATGCATGTAGACCAAAGCATCAAGAAATGATTCCAACCTGTACTCTCCATCGTCAACAAATGCTCCGCTTGTGCATCTTTCATCACCAGATCCATTATTGAGATTAGCATGTCTAAGCCTTTGTTCAGCACTCTGAGCCAACCGATACAAGCTATCCTTTATGCGTAGCTTTGTTCTTATATCCAACTAAACCAGAAAGCTCAACAGAGTGAGCTTACAAACATGTATGTACTGAAAAGAAAGTTTATATCCAACTAAATGTATAAACTTGAAGAACCACATACCATATCTGCTAACTGCCCCTTCCTAGCCCAAGTTAACAGGGATTAACACAAAGATAGTTTCAAGACACTGAATGATAAGTCAGACTTTGGAAGGCTTTTGCACATCAGCTGATAAATAATTTAAAATAAGCAAGCAGCGAGATGATGAGGAACAGCTTTTATATTAAGGCTGTGTGTTGTACTAAATAAGCAATCAGCTCTCTGCATAGCTATCTGCAACATAAACATGCACTAAGAAAGGCAACTACTCTTTTCTATATCTATATGCTATAGCTATAGGTTATTTACATGAACAAAGATTTTTCTAAATAAGCCTTAGTAAAACGCCATCACTAATATTAATTAATCTAACACAAAAACTAATTTAATATGTGATCTGTATAAATATAAATAATGAATAAGAGGACCAAATGAGTTCCTTTTTACTCAGCATCTTCACATGACTCAATTAAATAACAAAGATTTCTGATTTAGAATAATTTGAAAAAGTCAGATGTATGCACACTGCTACAGCATGCTGTGTGACAACTCTCTGACAAAATGGAATAATTCTCAATGCCTGTGTGAAGCTACAAGAGTGTGTAGCTGCAAATCTTTAACCTTTCCAGAATATAGGAATCTGTAAAATATGTTCGTCATTAATATTGTCCCTCGACTAAGAAACTATCTTAATTCAGATGAGAACCATCTAAAAGCATTGCACATGTCGTTTGAGCTATTGACCTACACAAATAAGGTGTGCCAAATTTGTTTAGTCAAATCACTTACTTAAAACAAACTTTGATGAAACTCATCACCAAACAATATCAAAAATGCATATTAGTTTTCATTGAGATTTTATACCCGTTCCATGACATGTTGAAGCTGATGAAAACTATCTGCCTCCTCAGAAATTTCATTCAACCCGGAGCTTGTGCAAGAGCTCTCCTTTACAATAGAGGAACCTACTTCTGCTGGAATTCCCGTGCTGACACTTCCAAGATCCCTGTTGTTTTCATGCTTAATTACAGAATGGTGAAGTAGCTTGTCCACCATATTTTCATTTGTTCCTATACCATCCACCTGAAAAGAAGGATCAGGTAAGCTTTCCATCAACTGCATCTGATTTGTCGCACAGGAGTCCTTAGCAGAAAGAGGCACGAGACTGGTTTTTTTAGATTTAATTGTGGATAGGGTTGGACAAACCGTAGTCTGATCTGAATGACTGTAATCTGAAGATAAGTAAGAAAAGCCATCCTGAAAATACCCAAAATCAGATCCATCAACTTGCTTGTGCTGCTGAATACCTGTGGATGTGAAAGCCTGAGATCCAGTGATTGCAGTAGGATGCCTTCTCTCTTCTGGAAGGCTATCAATATAGTTGAATGTCTCCCCATTTTCCAGGTAAACATGTTTTCTTTTTCCCTCAGATCGATTCTGGAGCTTAGAGTTAATTTGGTGAAGATTAATCTGTAACCCCATAAACAGATTAGAAAGAAGCCAATCATTGTGAACACTAATATCAGGATGAATGCATCAACTAGAATGTGCACATCCAGACAGTTAGGAACTCTAGAACACTCTTACTTTACTCAACGCCAGAATTGGACCTAGGATTTTAAGGTGACAGGTGCACCATTGCCTTTTAACATAAAATGGTGGTCACGCCTAGAAAGTTCAAAGAGGGACATATATTTGTTCTATTCTATTGCTTTTGGCATAATTAGATTCATGTTTAGATTGATTTTGGGTTAATTCTATTCAATTTATATTGTTTTCAAATCTGAAGATAATAAACCAGTTGGACGATCAGTTCGTTTTTTTATATCTGCAAGGTTCAAATTGTATTAATTAAGAGATATCCTATATTCACAGCCAATTCATCATTACACATCTTTATCAATAATACAAGCAAAATGAATGTTTTCAGTTCGAATCACACCTCATTAATCAATTATAGAAACAAATTTACATTATCGATGCAGGAACCATAGTCAGACCAACAACACAAGAAAAAAAATGCATTTCTTCAAAGATGGATTACAACTTTCCAAACTAGTCCACCTGTCCCAAATTATATGATGCATTTTTAGTTTTTAGTTGTCCCAAAGGAAATGATGTCTTGCTATATTTCACTTTAAAATTCTCGTCTTACCACAATCACACAAATATCTAAGACTTGTTTTAGACCACAAATTTCAAAAGTCTTACTTTCTCTTTCAAATTTTGTGCCCTGTCAAACAGCATCCCATAAAATGGAACAAAGAAGAGTAACATTTATATATGAAAAGAAAAGGAAGGAAAATTTGTGTATACAATGTTGCAAATAGCACCTTTCCCTGGTTCACCTACTCCTGATTTTGCTTCTAAAGATTCATTTCTAGAAGAAAAAGTGCCGCGGAGGGGGGTAGGGGAGGGGGGGGGGAGGAAAAGAGAGTAGGGGAAAAAACAGAGTACGATGTCGGAACAGAGGAGTCATCTTATACCCAGGCAGAAAGGAGATGGAAAAGGATACCACCTTGCATATGGCGGTCTGTCTGGAGGGAAAGGAATCAGAGAGTTTTTGAAAGCAACGGTAGTCCGATTCAGAAGATCAAGATAAATTCACTTTTGTTATTTCATTGTTTTGTGTAAAAAAAGATTCACACTGGCTACTGAATCTATCTTAGAGATTTTCGAATATCTGTAAGTGTATAGGATAGTATTTGATCAGGTTGTCATGTCTGAAATTATGGTTGTTGGCACAATTTTTGTGCACTGATATATTAAATTGTTAACATTTCCCAAAAAAATAAAAATAGAAAAGAGTGCTATACATTGCTCACCTACTCATCCTTTCCTAATTTTGCTGTAAAGATTTGTTTTTGAGGAGTAAAAACCAATGAAGAATCAGAAACAAAAAAGAAACTAAAGGAAAAGAGAACAGGAGAAACGGGAAGGTCCCACAACTGAGGTGAGGAAGAAATGAAGAATTTTGCTTCAACTGTGTTCATTATCAGAATACTTTAGCTGAAACAGTGCACCCAGTTGTCCCCTTAGAAGAGGAGAGACACTTCGTTCATATATTAGTTTCTTGAGAAGCTTTATGCATAAAAATAGAGTCAAAACCATTGTTGCCGGTGACAGTGAACCTCATCAATGAACATATGTCCATCTTTGCTTAAGACAAGATTTTGGAAAAGAAAGAGTGCTTATGTTAGATATAATTAAGTAATAATAGTGTTTATATCTAACATTTAGATGAGATGATGACATAATCAACACAGTATTAAAGCAGCCACATGTCCTGGGTTCGGAATTCATTGCCACCCATTAACAAAAAAGAATCTCCATATGTTTGGCCCATGAAAAAGAATCAAGCCCACATGTGAAGGGGCGTGTTGGAGACATAATTAAGTAAATAAAAGTGTGCTCTCTCTAACAACTTAACCTTTTAAATGAGATGAACACACACTTCTCCGTTAACTAAACACCAGTAACACTCTATCACTAGTTCATGTGTGAATGTTAGACATAATCTCAACCTAATTCCACCATTGAATTCAACATTCTTCAAATAGAACACCTTAAAGGTTAAGCTGAGGCGGAATAAAAGGCTAAACAAAAGGTCCGATGTACACCAAATTAATAATTTACCTTCTTTTTGGGCACTATCTTGAAATCTGAATCACTTGAGCCATTTGCAAAAGATAGATGACTCGGAACGGCTGATTCATCCTCTGATGGCATTGAACTGCCAGTCTGACTAAAGGGTTGATCTTTAGCGCCAGAATCATTAATTGAACTGTCTGTTTCCTTTGGCCTGGAAGCTTCCTGCATTCCAGAGATATTTTCAAGTGCACTGGATGTTGAGAAGGGAAACTCACAATCTGACCTCAATCCACCTCCAGATCCTTCAATAACATCAGATGACGAAAACCAACCAAGGTCATCTTCAATACTAGCTCCAAGTCCAAACGTTGAATCACAACTTCTGGAAGATATTATAAACAGTGAGCAATCATAAAGTATTAGGTTAGTCTCCTTTGAATAATAAAAGAAAATCATATGAAAAACTCTAGAGACAACAATTACCTGAACATCCTGTCAAGATCCTCAAAATTTTCCATCTCAGGCAAGTTATAATATAAGAGCTCGGTAGTGTTTTTATCCTCATGATTACTATCAAAAAAACCGAGATCATCATCTGCCTGAGAAATGGGACCAAGAGGATAGCTATGCAAGTTTTCCCTAACTGCAGCATTCTTGTCATCCAGAGTGAGGTCATTGGGATAAACTTCACTGCTAATGGAGTCGACATTGTTACTTCTGGAGCAATCATTTGATGTCCTAGTATTCTCAGATGATAAACTTGAAACTTCTTCAACAGAGTCCTTATCATGTTTAGAAGGGAACACGCAATCAAGCCTATCAGCCCCTGAGTCCTTCTCCAACATTGTCCTTATTCAAAGGAGGAACTTCTTTGCCCTTCTGCTGATTATTATATTTAAGAGTAGATTGACCTCCTATGGTTCTTAACAAACCAATTACTTCATACCAGGGTTTCTTACAGTTATCAATCCGGGAGAGAAACTCATTGGAATGTTCACAACTAGGACGTGGGACTATAAGATCATCGCTAAGGCAAACTTCATCCAAAGCTATATCTTGAAGCTGTAGCACCAGTTCCAGAATTTTAGCTGTAATAACTGCAGAGGATGCTTCCTTAAAATGAGTAAATCAAAAGTAGAACACAACATTTATTTCTTCAAATTGAAATCATCATAGTTTGGATTAAGGTAGATTATTTCCACTGTTAAGAGATACGAAAAGTCTGCTCTTTAAGGGTATGAGTAGTAATAGCAAAGGAAGAAGCTAAGATCAATGTATTTGACAAATATATTATAAAAAAACAAACGAAAGCACACACTCTCTCTCTCTCTCTCTCACACACACACATACATAAAGAGAGAGAGAGAGATGAAGCAAGTACAATGCACATTAATAAGAAAAAATGAAATGACTATAGTAAGAGAACTAAAGAGATATGTCAGGTCATAAGCTTATATCCATAATGTTCATGCAACAGTACAACAGTGAGTAATAACAAGCATAAATGAATAAATAGGCAGTTTACAAAGACCCGACTAATTGAAATTAGTAAATCAATCTCAGCAAAATCATATAATCAGATTGAAAATAGTAAAAATCAACCTTCAATGACGACTACGATGAGGAGGAGGAGGAGGAGGAGGAAACAACAATGGATGTTCCTACGTACCACATTAATTCAATCACTTCTCGATCGAGATTGGGTTAGCGAGGAAACAACAATGGATGTTCCTACGTACCACATTAATTCAATCACATAGTTAGTTGGACAAATGAACAGGGGAAAGCCTTTTCCATCGTCTTTCGCTGACCCTGGTTCTATCAAACCCGCTTCTTCAATCCTGGTGTGAACTTCTTCCTGCCTTCTTACCCAAGAGCACTTTGCCTAGAATCCCAAGTTGCCTCCCCTCTCCTCTGAGGCCGATCGCATCCACTTTTGGACCTAAAGCCTTCAAGTCCTATTATCGGAGAGGGACTTTTTCCATTATTTATCCTAGGAGTTTGATGCTATCAAACCCGCTTCTTCAATTCCGGTGTGAACTTCTTCATGCCTTCTTACCCAAGAGCACTTTGCCTAGAATCCCAAGTTGCTTATCCTAGGAGTTCGATGTCTAGGCTGAGGCTCAGTCATTGAGGAGGAGGAGGAAATTGAGGAGGTCAATTTCCAAAGTATTTTTAACAAACAAAATCAGTTCATAAGCTGAAAACTCTTCTCCTTAACTAAATATCAATTTCCAAAGTTATTTCTTTTCTTTCATTTTCAACAAACAAAATCAGTTCATAAGCTGAAACTCTTCTCCTCAACTAAAAATCATTTTCCAAAGTTATTTCTTTTCTTTCATTTTCAGCAAACAAAATCAGTTAATAAGCTGAAAATTCTTCTCACCTTAAGTAAACATCAATTCCCAAAGCTAATGCGTGTTTTTTTTTCATTTTACAGCAAAAAAAAAAAAAAAAACTCAGTTCATTAGCTTGAAAACAGTCCTCCTTAAATCCATACAGCAATAAAACAACAACAAAGGAGGAGTTATTTCCAAATAAATTCATACAGCAATAAAATCAACTTCCTAAATTACTTGTTTTCTTTCATTTTACAACAAACAAAATCAGTTCATTAGCTGAAAACACTCCTCCTCAAATTCACAAAGCAATTAATCAACAAAGAAGAATAATACCAATCACAAACAAATTAAATATGAGATCTCACCGCAAAAACTCTCTGAAACAAAACAGTACCTCGCCGGAAAGTAACGAATTCGCTTCGCCGGATAATGAACAGTTGAGCTATGCAACCCTAATTTGATACAAATCTCAGAGACGTCTGTATTTGCTTTGAAAATGAAAAGCATTAAATAAATTATTTGAATTGAATAAGTTAGTGAATTTTTTTAAATATATATAAAAGGAAGCGTAGGGGAATGGATGACACGTGGCAGTGTGATCTAATTTGTGGTGGACAAAGCTTTAAGGGGGTGTGGGGAAAGGGGAGATTCAAAATTTGTGGACAAGAAAAAAGGGTTGAGATGTGATCTGTTTCTTTAATCTGATTGGTCCACGTAGGATGAAACTGACACGTGTCAGTTAATTATTTGTTTTTTACCGGTGGCTCAATATTTTTGTGTTAAATTCAAGAGTTATTGGATATGGAATAATCCCACCTTTAGAATTGTGGGGTCGGTTGACAGGATAAGGATTATAATTTTAGTATAAAATATGATATTTTTTTCGTTTTATTTTGATTTGGTATGAAGTTTAAGAAAGTAAAGTAGATTTTTGAATTTTATTGTCTTAAATTAAAGGTTGTCATGAAAAATAGAAATTAAAAAATTGCTAAAAGGAGAAAGAGACATTTTCTTTTTAAACAAACAAAAAAGGAAAGTATGATAAATAAATTGAAACGGAAGATATAATATTTTGTTTTACACTTGGTTGTAAGTAATTAATTAGTTGTAGAATTACTTTATCTAAATTTATTTATATATAGACGAGATATGTTATCGTACTTTTTATTTTTATATGAGATAACTAATCTTATAGAATATTATTTATCGGTGTATCATCATTTGCTCTTATTGAGACAAAAATATTCAATCGACCAATGATTAATCACTTTTCATCTGGTGAACTAGTAAAATCAAAATTTTGGGAAGAATTAAATAAAACTACTAAAAAGTAGGGTAGGCCACTTAAATTGAATTGTTTGAGTGTTATTGTCAACACTCAGGTAATTTTCATAATTACAAAAAATAATCAAGTATTACATGTTTATCAAAGAACAACTTACACGAATCCTTTGTTTCTTTCCAATTTTAGAAAGGAAAAATGGTTTAAAATACTTGTGAACTATTCGAAAAAGGTTAACACTATTATGTTTCCGACTTCAAAATTTCAGCGTTGTTTGTGCACTAGCTCAAAAGTACTTTCTGATAAAGTTGTCATGTGACCAAGAGGTCAAGGGTTCAAACCGAGGAAACAACCTCTTGCAGAGATTTTGTAAGGCTACGTACAATAGACCCTTGTAGTTCGGCAGCAGAAGCTTTAGTGCACCGCGCTGCCTTTTCTTTCCAGTCATATCACAATAAGAACTGAAGAAACAAACTAGACAATAATTTTACAGTTCGAGAGGCACTGAAAACTAGCAGCATTTGGCAGTTACAAGAACAAGAAACCGATGAGAATGTCTGTCACCACAAGATACAAGAAACAAGTTTTATCTTCTCAACGTGCTATGAATTCACTGTATATCTGCTTGTACGTAAACGAAAATATATCATTCCAACCATGATGTTTGCAGTGAGCACTGGGCAGAGTGGAAAAAGCATTTCTCAAATATGATGTGTTTCCAAAGGCTGAGATTCAGTAAGTATGACAAATGCGGCAAAGCCGTCGAAGAAAAGTATCAGTAAGTTTGACAAATGCAGCAAAGCAGTCGACCTCTGTCAAAGCAAACTATCACCAGGCCCATCACTCCTCCTGTATAAGAACTCGGTCCCTTTCAATTGGCATCGGATGTAGCTTGTGGCACCTCTTGGTATATACCCGATTCATCATTATATGAGTACCTACATTTGATACATCAAAGAAAAACAGTTAACAAAAATGCTATTTTTGACAGTTCAAATCACACTACTACTATCGGGTCTACACAAATTGCGAGTAACCAACCGAAAATAGGTAGATCAATATCCAGACTTTCTGTCAGTTAAAACAGTTGAGTGTCATTACCATTGTCCTGATGAAGCATGGCAATACAGTCCAGATGATGGATCATAATAGTAGCCCAAACTGCTGCTGTAGTAATAACTGATCGATGAAAAATACAAAAAAGAGTAAGTTAAGTTTGAGACAGCAATACAAAAATAAATGCACTATGACATAAATGACAGATTCCAACTTTGGAGGCACAGTTCCTTAAACAATGGAATTGAAGTTCCTAGACAGATAGAACATATGAACCTTTCATATCACTCTTGACATCCCATATCTGCTCTTATCAAGTCAATGTAGAAAGATTAGACAAGCAGGAAACCAATAGTTATTTGGTAGTCCCTGCTACTGCTAAAACAAAGATGGATATCATATCATGTAAAGGAACTAGCATACTACCATGAACTTCCAAAATGAGTATGTAGGCGGAAACAGACAAATGAAATGGCAACCCGACAGAAACACTTCTGTCAATATTAGCTTGAAAAGAATGTTGAAAGAGTATAAATTGGAACGGAAAACTCCGAAAGAACTATGTTCAAATAAATTTCATAGGATCCTCTTCCGTTAGAATTACAACATTGAGTATTTCTTTGATTGAACATGGAAGAACCCTACAATAACCTGCTCCCAGTTGATCAGCGGAATTTCAAAATGACACGGTTTGATTTCTTATTACTAGGATGTCTGCACACTATGAGCAGAAGGAGAAAAGTAGTGTAATGAGCTAAAAGGTAGAAAACATACCCAGAGGACTCATCGAAGACATAATCGCCATGCTGATCACCTACAGTTAACATTGAGCGGGAGTCACGTATGTGGAAAGGGGAAATATGCTAAAAAAAAACTTGTAATCTCCTCTCACATAGAATAATGGACTAAATTTGTCAATAATGTCAATTCTAGACGTGTTTAGAGATCAAATTACCTCCATTAGAGGCAGGATTAGCTGGAATATTTTCATCATCTTCACCAAACATGTCAAGTGCATCATCGTTCTTGCTAGCTGAGTTGTATGAATTTGATGAAGCCATGTCTGCATTATGCATAGAATGTCCTCCTGCAGTAGCAGTTGACCCACTGGGGAGGAAACCTTCATCGAGGATACTATCAGGCTTAGGCTGCATCGATTCACTGGATTTACCCTGTCTTGCCTGAGCTAACTTCTCATATCCCTCTGGATCAATACAAAATGCAAATAAGATAATACCCTCACTCATGCAGCTCAAGAGAAATGTCAATTGTTCTTTACTTCAGAACCCTAGCATAAAACTTGAGTCACCAATATCATCCTTATAGTAGATAAAAGCAAAGCCAGTAACCAGGGGAAAAATCTACTACTTCCTGTTTTTCTGTGTCCACATTCCCCCCTCCATCCCCCCCCCAAAAAAAAAAAAGTGGGGGGAGTCTTAACCAGTTTGGTTAGGGAAAAGACAAGACTGCCATCATATATTTTCCACTTCCTTGAGTTATGATCATGGTGGATATAATGTCAGAGAAAAGAGGGAATAACACAATGACAAGTACCTGCTTCCCGCTGGAAACTCTCTTGCTTTTCTTCATACACATCTGTGAACAAGAAATAGACTAACAGATTAGAACCGTCCTTGGTATTCTATTCAACTATTACCTTGCAATACAGTTATTATGCAAACACACTTAACTGTAATCTCCATTCTCCATCAGCTTCATAGCATCTGCTATTAGCTGATCAAACAGCTGCTTAGTTTCTACAGACATTTTGCCCTTGTTATTGTTTGAGGTACCTTTCAATCTCCTTAAACCTCGTAAAACCTGTTGGAAGTAAAACGTTCTCCCCATGAGTCCCAAAGCAATAGAGAACAACATCAACTTCATAGCACAAAGATTCTTGGTAGAAGTACTCAAACATAACAAGTGGATATCTTTATCGTACAAGGCCTGCCAGATTTATATGAGGCAGCTAATACAGGAATAAAAAGCGAATGGTGTATGGTCTAAATTAACAATAATGTCGAGAGAACTCACAGCAATGCAAATCCACTGTGAGCAAATTGCAAATAGGCAGAATGATTTGTTTGGTTGGAAATGAAGGGCCAAAAATCAACCAGCTTCTCAGTTACCATTATCAAAAAAAAATTAAAATCAACCAGCTTCTAGAAATTATCAAAAACAAGATGATTGATCACAGCTCTGATACCCTAAGTGCTAAACATGGTAAAAAATAACAAAAAGAGTGATAAAGATTGAAAGTAAAAGAGAAGGGTATTCTGGTGTTCTTAAACACCACACCAGATTCAGATATTAACCTTCCAAGCAAATAAGCAAAGCCTTCTCTCAAACAAAATCTTCTACCGTCTTCCTTTAATTGAATAACATGTACCCTCAAAGCAACCTATGAATTTAACAGATTTTTTGTAGAGAATAGAGAGAGTGACCTGCCAACACCCCCAATGGACTGGATGCCAGATGACATACCTCTGCCTGCAGGCATCAGGAACTTTTGGGTGAAGGCCTTACACTTGAATATCCTGATTGACAAGGATAGATGACCAAGGGAGGGAAGGGGGAAAGAATAAATGGTGTGGCACCAACTTTACCAGTATGCTGGTCTGATGCAAAGCATCTTGTCATTAACTTATTCATATTTGGAGAGAGGAAAGCTGTCAGAGGAAGCAAGCAAGTAACTGACTGAGCAATACAGCAAACAATATGTTAAATTTACTTGTTATTGAATGGATGGCTGTGTTTAGAGGAAGTATTTGTAGAGGAAACAAGTTGAATTGCCAAAATAACAGATGCAAAGTTGATGGTGCCAATGTCTAACTACCATGATGAAATTTAATGATGAAAATAGCTCCTATAGGGTGAGCAAAATTTTCAAAAGGATGTGCTATTCTAATGGGCACCAAAACTTCTCCTTCAGAAAAGCCAATGAGGTATTTACTATATTGCGGTGATTCTAAAGTTTCAACCTACACATTTCTGGAATTGGCTCTAACATGCACAATTGCGCACGACTGTTAAATTCAACTATTAAATGCCTTGGGAATGAGCCCCATAAAATCCACCTAGTTCTTTTTTAACTCCTCCAATTCTAATATGATTAAAGAGACTTGGCCTTGACTCATTCATTTGTGTTCAACCAAAAATCGCCAAAAAGTTATAAAATAACAATGTAAATCTTAACAGCTCAACTGCTCAACCATAGCCTCTCCATTTCTCATTTGAAAACAACAGCAAAAAGCCACAAAGAACTTTGCTTGGACAACGAAGAAAATATAATATGCAAACAACAACTGTTGCCAAAGACAGAAGGTAACATCCAAACACAGTATCAATATGTAACCATTAGCTACGAGATAAATACATGTGGGAAAAGCAGATAAAATTCATGTTGAACCACCACGGAAGGAATCAGAAATGAGAGCACATAAAATATTTTGAAGATATCAGAAAATAATCTACAAGCAAATGCCATCAACAGTATTTATCCATTAAAAATAATGAACAAAAAAAAACTAGAAAACATGAGGTGGGAATAGTTACTGTTTCTCCTGGTTCGAGCACATCAGCAATTCGCCTCTTCATCTTTCCTAGTTGTTCTGATGTAAGGTCTTGAATCTCATCTTCATTTGATATCTTGATAGCTTTCTTCCCAGAATATCTTTTCTCAGTATCAACACTATCAAGCCATGCGTCCTGTACACTTACTAAGATCAGGAAAAGATGCAAGGAATGGGGCCTGGGGGTAGAAAATGTTTGATGTAAGACTAGCACCTTTATCTCATTTTGATTTAAATATTCAACATAGTTTCCTGATGCATCAAAATAACCTTCTTCTCTCTCTTTATTCAGATTAAAAGGCTCTATTGCAATCCCATCATCAATGAATGTTTCATTTTCCTGCAACCAGAGACATTCCATTAGTTACATCAGAAAGGAATACAAACAAACAAGAAATACGTAGTTTAGCCATAGAGTAATTAGAATACAAATAATCAGAAGTGCTTTAGTTTGTTTTATAGGCCGAACCAAAGAACAAATAACAATCTAACTCCACGAATTTAATGTGACGGCACATGAAGCATAATTAATCAAATTTAATTAACATTTATGTTTGGAGAGTTTAAATAAAAGAAATAAAATGCTCAGAAAATAAAACAGAAGGAAACCAAGGAAGTAAAGCTACAAATTTTCTTTCCATTGTTTCATTGGCAAGGGAAGTATGAAGAACAGGAAAAATTTATTCAAGGGAACTCAGACAAATTCTTTTCTTCTTTGTATTCCTTTTCTCACCTCTATGCAAATTAAAGTAGGTGCAGAATTTAAATCTTACCCATTTTCTATTTGTACAGTTCAAAGACCCACAGTTCATAAAGTCCCAGGAAGAACACTACATAAGATAGAACGAGACAAGTCTATTGGACACACAAACAACGATTCATTCTCAGTGAATTTAAAAGTGAAAAGTGCAAAAAAGCGTCTGCAAGGTTTGAAATGAAAAAGCGAGAAGTAAGGCACATGCTTTATTAAGTGAAGCGCACAGTTATTATAATTCTAATGATGATTCATTTACACATGGCATGCAACATTATGCTATTCCTTTTGATGAGCCGTTATATGCCAAGAAAGTTCACCATTTTGTCTCCTTGACCTTTGTTTCTAGAGCATAAAGGATTGAAATATAAAATTCTATAGGTATGTATTAGTGGGGTTTTTTGATGAAGTTACAGATGGTCCCTATTTTGCTTATGTTACTACTTACTACTTGGGGAATATAATTAGCAATCAAGATTATTTATGGTTTTCAATTATGAAATGAGCACCCATATCTCAGCTCTTTTTGAGAAGATTACCCATATCTAAGTAGTTCTAGCTAAAAATGCAGCACAAATCATGCCAAGCCCCAAAAAAGTTTGTAATAATCCTAGTATCACTTCCTTATCAAGAGATATGAACTAGACATCAGATATCCACAAAGTACCTAACTACAATCAAACAATTATGGAATAACAGCTATTGGAAGGAACAAACCTCATATTCTACTTCTGCCCGCGATATGTCAGCTATTTCACCTTCGTTTTCTTCATCAAGGAGCTCCGCTGTTATTTGATTCCGCCGTGCCGAACGCTCTTTGGCAGCAGCGCGAGGATCTGTTCGCCCACTAGGTTTATCTTCACGCCCATCAATCGTGTTATCGGCCTGCTTTACCTTCTTACCCTTTGGGAACCTTACACGCTTCTGTCTGTGATGTTGAGGAAGAAAGCAACATGTCAATGCAAACATCCTTAAAATCCAGCATCAAAATGAAACAATTTTGAACCCAACAAATGAGGTTGTCATAGAGCATGGCAGACGATATCACATTGAAAAAAACGCTATTTGAAGTTGTATTACTTGCTATTGCTGGCTCATGAAACACATTATCTTTACAAGGAAAATAACAATAGGTAAAAAAAATTCTAATTTTTCTCCTACTAAACTCATGACAGTCTCAACAACAAAATACAACCTCTAATCTGAAAAAGAAAGCAATTCCAGCTTCTACTCCTAATTAGAAGTGGAAACTGGAAACAAGCAAAAAGAATTAACCAGTCAAATTTGGGATCATATTTTATTCCTTCTTGATTCAGGCAGATACATAGACTTCAGCCTATTGATAAGATTACAAATAGCTAGTGAAGAAATAAACTGGAAAACCATCTCATCTGCTTAATATATTTTAATTTAGTTTTCGGTGATAGGAAAATTAATAAACAGGGCACCCAAGTAATTTCTTCATCGTGGCAATAGACAAGATGGAGACGCCTTTTCAACAACACAATTCCCACCAAATGTAGGATATTGTAGGGACAAGTGTGAGATTTAGAGTACCTCTAGTTTTAGAAAACTCCTACTTTATCTTCAACGACAAACTATTGAGGACTGGAATGAAATGATCACAGTAAGAGTAAATAGATATAGAGATTACATATAACTGATCCAATTAGTTTGGGCATGAGGCATAGTCGCTGTATAATTCCTTAAATCTCCAACAAATAACGTATTTTCCTTACATAGTTCTCTCAAGGCCAAACACACCCTTCTTTACTAGACATTCTCTAGGCACTAAGAATACACAATCCGCCCATTCCCACTAGATTTTTTCTCCAGGTTCACATCATTATGAAATCAACAGTAATTCACATTAGGAAAAAAACAAAACAAGCTAATAGAATTTGGGCGCATTTGCAGAAACATGTTGTAAACAAACATAGATAGAAGCTGAAAGAAAGCAAATCCAAGTACATACTCCTACACTCCTCTAGGAGGCTCCTAAAATTCTTACAATAATGACATAATAAATCAATCCCAACAGAAGCAAAAAATACTATGTGACTTCTCCCTATCTATTTAAGCCTTGGTTGACAGAGTAAAGTGGTAAAGTGGTACCTGTGTTGATGGGAGGTAGTAGAGATCCCATAGAATAGAATTGATTGAGTTATAAAAACAAAAACGAGCTTTCCTTATTTATTTATCAATTATTACCTTTCTATTGATACAAAATACTCCCCCTAGTTCACTTCTTCCTTTTTTTTGACAACCATAGTATCCAAACCAGCTTATGAGCACCTTAACTAATTACATAGATATCTGTCACTCCCACCGAAACAGCTATAAGGTAACTCTATCCCCAAGGCTAGGACAGGTAGAAAGAAATCACCTTTCTTCTCTATGTTGGAATTTGAACATTAGACCTCATGGTTCTCAACTCACTTCATTAACCACTAGACACACCCTTCCTTATTCACTTTTTTATGACATCAATTATATTTCAAAAGTAAAATAAATTGGTTTCCTTTCGCACTATGTTTTTATTATGACCGTGGTGTTACGCCAGCTTTCGCACACCTCAACTAATTCCATGAGACATATTCCACCTCCCACCATTAACAAATATCAGGTAACTATGTCCACCTAAACTAGAACAAATAGAAAAAAATCATCTAGCATTTTTGTCTCTTCTAGAAATTGAACATGAGACCTCATAATGCTCAACGCCTCAACCCACATCCTTGACCACTAAGCCACACCTTGAGATGTTTTTTGTTTTTTTGATGACCTTGGTATCCGAATCCATTGGATACCTCCCACCACGTACCAAATAACTCTGTCCACCAAGGCTATGAGAGATGGAAAGAATCACCTGGTATTTCTTTGTCTCCCCTGAGTTTTGTGAGAGCTCAGGGTTCTCAACCACTTCATTAATCACTAAGCCGCACCCTTGGGTGATTCAGCACTATGTTTTCAAGCATATACAAAATATTATTTACTAAGAAATCACAAACTTATAGCTCAAATTTTATATTCCGAACTCGATATCACAAAACAATATGAGCTTTCATCTGTGCAGAATCCCTAAGTATGTTCAGAATAAATTAGGGCACAAAATCACATGAAAAATTTCAAAAAAAACATAAAACGAAAGAAGGAAATAGTTACTCTGGAGTTTTATTGGAGTCATCGTCCTCAACGAAGGGACGTTTGGCACGTCGCGATGAACCTTCTTCCATGGCGGACGAGTAATCGACAATTGATATGAAGGATTCAGAAGAAAAAAAAACGAAAGGGGCAAAGTGGAGAGAGAGCGGTGGTACTGGTAAACATAAAAAAACTCTTACAAACTATAATACATTTTTTTAATTGATAAAATTTTAAAATAACATTACTAATATTAATTAATCCTATTGAATCCAGTTAATTTTATAATTTTATTTATTAAAAAATAAGTAAAAGTAAATTTAGAATAATTCCACAAATAAGTTATTGATAATATAGAAAAAATATTATAAATTATTATTTGAGAAATGTGACAACACAAAAAATATACTAATAGTTGAGATAATTTTTAAAATAAAATTATCATTTACTTTATTTGGATATTCACGCCTACTAGTCTTTTTCATCATCAATTAATATTTGCAAGGATTATTATTTAGATAGTATAAATAATTAAAAAAAAAAAGAAGAGAGAGAGAGAAGGATAAAAATATAAAAGCCACGAGAAAATAATGAATAAGATTACTCCATAAACATAGTGTTATCAAATTGCTCCATAAATATATAGAATAAATTACAATTTACAAATATAAAAAAATAATTATTTAATCACTCTGTTGCAGTTTTGCATGAGTAAAAATGATTGATAAAATGTTTTGTTTGACATTTGCACTAATATTTTACTTTTATAAAAATGATATTTTAAAAAACTTGTACATTATCAACTTTAACTAATCATTTTTATAAATAAATTACGTATGTTGAATAGTTTTATTAGGTTATTAGTTCACTAACTGCTTGTTGCTTGTTATAACTAAGTAGAGTTTCTGAAATGAGTTTTTTTTTCTCCTGATTTACATGCAAAATTAACCATAGAGTATTATGCTTGTTTGAATTAATAATTAGTAAAAAAAAAATGTAGTTCATATATATTATTTGAGAAGAAAAAGAAGAAAAATAGAATCATCTTGTTTTACTTTTGATCAAAATTCATGTTTGCGATTAGTTAAATGTCCCTTAATTTCTTTTATTTAGAAAATATAGAATTTTAAAGAGCGCTGATATGACTTTTAGAGAATGTGAAATTCTCTGTTTGAGGAAAAAATAATAGCAGAAACTAAATTTTTTTTACATTAAACAATGTGGAATTTGCTTTTAGAGGAAAACCTAGTAGAAAAAACTGAAATTTTTTATAATAAAAGGAATGTGGAATTTGCTTTTAGAGAGAAACATAATAGAAGAACACCAAATGAAGGGCGTATTTAATAATAATATAGATGGAAAAATAAATAAAAAGTAAAGTACATAATTTTCTGAGTTCTTATCGACTCCTTCTTCCATATCCTATCAAAATTCAAGAGTCTTCTTCATCTACTTTAGCTATATAATAAAAATGATAACCTTGGTAGGGGTTTCATGAAATAAAAGAATTGAATTTATATGAATAGAAATGAAGGAATACCAAAAGATATCTTAAAGTTTTAAATTAAATATTTAAAGGTTATGAATATGAAAAGATGAGAGTTATGGATATTAAGAGTATAAAATTTTAATAGGTAATTAGATATGAGTTTATGAATGTGAATATTTAAAGTAAATTAAGAAAATAATAATAAATAAATGAAGAATAGAAAAATAATAATTTAAAGCTAACAAACCATGTAGATTTGCACATTTTTAAACTACTAAATTTCTTTATTTATCATAAAAGATAATATTTTATCTACATAAATTATATTATTTATGAGAGGAGTTATGGAAAGAGGGAAAGTTGAGTAATTTATGTAGAAAATTTTAAATTATTATTATTATTATTATTATTATTATTATTATTATTATTATAACTATTATTACTATTAGTATTATTATTATTAGTATTACTATTAGTATTATTATTATTACTATTAGTATTACTATTACTATATAGCTCTCCTGTCACTTAGATTTGATGTTCTTGAGTTGAGGGTCTCCCGGAAACAGCCTCTCTACCTCCACGAGGAAGTGGTAAGGTCTGCGTACACTCTACCCTCCCCAGACCCCACCTAGTGGGATTTCACTGGGTATGTTGTTGTTTTGTTGTTAGTATTACTATTACTATTACAATTACTATTATTATTATTATTATTATTATTATTATTATTATTATTATTATTATTATTATTATTATTATTTCTATTACTATATACATACATACATATAGATGATAGATGATAAATATTATTAAATTAGATATTTAATTAAAATTTAATCCAAGTAAGTCCAAAAGTCATGAACATTTTAATTGAAATGATATATATCATCTTAGTCTTTTTAATCAATTGTTAATTATGTTGTTTTTGTGTGAATGCTTCATGAGAAGTTGGTATTATTGAGATTGTATTTTATTTGGTATTATTGGGGTTGTTGGAAGGCTAAACGATTGTTTATTCGACTCCTAAATTTCGTAGCTCTTCCATTTTCTACTTTCTGGTAATCAAAATCCAAGTTTCACTATGCCCTCTATTTGGCACACACAAGATAAAGATTTAGATTTATGTGGTACGACTTAACATACAATTTTAAAAAATAATATAAATGCAATTACAGTCATTACAAGAAATTAGATCCTTCACAATACTCTTCTCTCGAACTAATTAAAGAGGGTAATTTAATAAATATAACTCATGAGGGTTATTTAAAAAACAATTCCACAAATGAACCGAAATCAACATATATATTTTGATTCCTACTTCACGTGATTAATAATGCTAGTGTGATAAAAAAGTCGGGAGAATCAAATATTATTATTAGATAAAATCAAAGAAATTAGCAAGCCATGCATAACATTCTTGCAACTAACACAACTTCCTCCTCTTCTTCAAATCAGAAACATCAAACATTTCAATGGAGTAATACTCAAACCTAATTAACTAAATAAAAACAAGGAAAAAAAGCAAGAGCTAGCAACTTAAATGTTGAACAAAAGACGTCCACTATGTGATATGCACATATATACTTTTCATTTGTTCATGTCAGTAGCATTTTTAACTGCATCTGCTACCCCTTGTGTCGTGACATAATTATTAGCAGCCCAAGAATCCCTCATAATCAGACATAATAAATAACTTAAACATATGGTTAAGAGAGACCATATATGAACAATAGTAATGGAACTCCTTAATAGACACATTGAAGATAAATAAAGAAAAAGAAGAAAGAGACGAGAAGGACTGGTTATATTGAAACTCCGAAAGAAAACCTCAATGAATTTACCATGATTCACTGATCTGACAATTTATAAAATTTTAAAGCTATAGTTGGAAATGGAAAAGAACTTCCAAACATTGAATTAATTTAGGAAGATGAAAAGTTATTCTAGAATATTGAATAGGCTGCAATAAGTGGCAATTGCATGAAACTTAATCCACCCCTTTGTATACTCAAATACTTGATTGATTGTTGTTAAACTTTAAATATGCAACGTATGTGTCCATTCCGGAGTTGTATTGAATAGAATGATTTTCTTAATTAATGATAGAATATTTAATTAATTATATTTTATAATAATATAATTTAGTGTAGGGGTAAAATGGTAATTCAACTTTTTACTTTGAAACTTTTCATTTTTAGTAAGATATGATGATATGATGATATGATAATAAAACTCATATTTATGAAATGTAGTAGAACAATTTTGAAGATAGCAGGAGTTTTTTTAAAACATATACAAAATTTCGTGTATGAAACCAATGTAAAATTCATATGAAATATATATATATATATATATCACTTAAAGCTTAGAATTTCGTTCATAATTTTTGTGTATGAAAAGTATATAAATTTGGTATGAAATATGTATATATATAACTATATAAATTTTGTATGAAACTCTGGTTACTTAAAATCTAATACAAGTATATCACCAAAAGATATGTTGCGGTGGATGAAGTTGCTTCTCTTAGGTCTCGGGTTTGAATGAGCACTCCCCTCAAATGGGCCCTACCCGGCACAAATTTGGGATAGTTGGGCTCCCGCAGGTACCGAACACTGAGTGGGAGACCAGAATAAAAAAGTACAACTACAATAACATACCAAACTTAAAAACAATTACATATAACTCATCCGTCATTGTATGATTATCATACGATTTTTGATACAATTCGTCTGTAATTTTGAATTTAAACGAACTAAAATTAAAAATTCAGGCCAAAACTAATTCGAATTTTACCCAAGTTCGTAATCTCAAATTTTATATTATTAGTCTCCTCAACTTTCCAATTCTTTTGAGAAATCACCAAATTCAAAACAAATTAAACTTCGTTTTTAGCCAATCAATTTTGAGAACTTGACCTTCAAGATCTTACAAAATCTTTATGGAATTGAGAAGCCTTGCTCATCATTTTTTCCTATAGATTCCCCAAACAAGGAAAATTAAAAAGAAAAGAAAGGTATCTATTATTTAAAGATCAAAGATTATTGACTAAAATATCCTTAATTGCAATCTAATTTCATTGGATAGAACTTTTAAAATAATGTTTGTCCTAGCCCTAGGGGACTTATTGTGATCATCTAAAACATCCTCTCTACCTTCAAGGGTAATCAAATGGTTTGCATACATTTTTGCCCTTCCAGACCCCACTTGTGAGATTTCATTGGATATGTTGTTGTTGTTTGCCCCAGGACTTGTGCCTTGGGACATAATTTCTTGTCTTAAAAACACCACTTGTGCGACTGAAGCAGTGGCGTAGCCACATAACTGGACACTTGAATGTTCTTAGCGAAACTTTTGACTTCACCACTACATTGAAGTTATGGTTTAGAGCATAACTTGTGTGATACAATTTGAAATTCTTGGCTTGCAGTTAGTAGAGAATATATACTTTTCTTTACCATTAACCTCAAACTCTATCATCTTTCTACTTTAACACTTTTTCCTCTGTCGGATTTTTAAAGCTTTAAATACTGAATTCCATCATAACATTATTCATCACTTATCAAACTCTCAATATTAATTCCATACACAGTTTACCTTTTACAAAAAATATTAGTATCCATATTCCTAAAGATGGCTGATGCCTTTGTGTCATTTGCAGTTCAAAAATTGGGTGATTTCCTAATACAACAAGTTTCACTGAGAACAAATCTGAGAGATGAAGTTAGATGGCTGAGAAATGAGCTACTCTTCATACAGTCTTTCCTCAGAGATGCAGAACAAAAGCAATGCGGAGATCAAAGAGTTCAACAATGGGTGTTTGAAATCAATTCTGTTGCGAATGATGCTGTCGCTATACTCGAGACATACAGTTTCGAGGCTGGTAAAGGTGCTAGTCGTCTCAAGGCTTGTGCTTGCATATGTAGGAAGGAGAAGAAATTCTACAATGTCGCAGAGGAGATTCAATCACTCAAGCAGAGAATCATAGATATCTCTCGCAGGCGAGAGACATATGGTATTACAAATATCAATAATAATGCTGGAGAAGGGCCAAGCAATCAGGTTAGAACATTGAGGAGAACTACCTCATATGTAGATGAGGATCACATTTTTGTTGGCTTTCAGGATGTTGTACAAACATTGCTAGCTCAACTTCTCAAAGCAGAGCCTCGTAGAAGCGTCGTCTCCATTTATGGCATGGGCGGATTAGGCAAGACCACTCTTGCAAGAAATCTCTACAGAAGTCCCAATATAATCTCTAGCTTCCCTACACGCACTTGGATATGTGTTTCTCAAGAGTACAACAAAATGGATCTTCTTAAGACTATCATAAAATCCATCCAAGGTCGCACCAAGGAAACTCTAGATTTGTTGGAAAGGATGACAGAAAGAGATCTAGAAATTTACCATCATGATCTATTGAAAGAACGCAAATACCTTGTGGTGGTTGATGATGTATGGCAGAGAGAAGCATGGGAGAGTTTGAAAAGAGCATTCCCGGATAGCAAGAATGGCAGCAGAGTTATTATTACCACGCGGAAAGTGGATGTCGCTGAAAGAGCAGACGACAGAGGTTTTGTCCATAAACTTCGTTTCCTAAGCCCAGAAGAAAGTTGGGATCTCTTTTGTAGGAAACTTCTTGATGTTGGAGCAATGGTTCCAGAAATGGAAAGTCTAGCTAAGGATATGGTGGAGAAGTGTAGAGGCTTAGCTCTTGCAATTGTTGTATTGAGTGGACTACTTTCGCATAAAAGGGGGCTAGACGAATGGCAAAAGGTGAAAGATCACCTTTGGAAGAACATTATTGAAGATAAATCTATTGAAATCTCCAACATACTATCATTAAGCTACAATGATTTGTCAACTGCGCTCAAGCAGTGTTTTTTATACTTTGGTACTTTTCCAGAAGATAAAGTGCTCGAGGCTGAAAACATAATATGGTTGTGGATGGCGGAGGGTTTCATACCAAGAGGAGAAGAAAGAATGGAGGATGTCGCTGAAGGCTTCTTGAATGAGCTGATAAGACGAAGCTTGGTTCAAGTAGCTAAAACATTTTGGGAAAAAGTTACTGAATGTAGGGTTCATGATTTACTTCGTGATCTTGCCATACAAAAGGCATTGGAGGTAAACTTCTTTGACATTTATGATACAAGATACCACTCCATATCCTCCTCATGTATCAGACATGCCATTCATAGTCAAGGAGAAAGGTACCTCTCACTTGATCTTTCTAACTTGAAATTGAGGTCAATTATGTTCTTTGATCACGATTTTTCTAACACGAGTCTTATAAAGTTCAGTAGTGTGTTCCGACATTTATATGTGTTGTACTTGGATATTGAAGTTGGTATTACACCTGATGCCATAGGAAGTTTGTACCACCTTAAGTTCTTACACTTGAGAGGTGTCTATTATATCCCCCCTTCCATTGGCAACCTCAAGAATTTACAGACACTTCATGCCAAGAGTAACTTTTTCTCATGCCACCTACCTCCCGAAACAGCTGACCTAATAAATCTAAGACATTTAGTTGCTCCATATTCAGAACCTTTGAAACGTATAAGCAAACTCACAAGTCTTCAAGTTCTTAAAGACATTTATTGTGATCAGTGGAAAGATGTTAACCCTGTTGATTTAGTCAATCTTCGAGAATTAAGCATGATTAATATTAGCAACTTTTACTCCCTAAACAACATTAGCAGCTTGAAAAACCTTAGCACTCTCAGATTGTCGTGTCCTGGTGATGGACCATTCCCATCTCTTGAATTTGTTAATTGTTGTGAAAAGCTCCAGAAATTGTTCTTATATGGGAGAATAGAGAAACTGCCTGATCTGTTTTCAAATTCCATCACAATGATGGTTCTTGAGTACTCAGAACTGATAGAAGATCCGATGCCTAATTTGGGAATGTTGCCAAACCTAAGGGATCTCCAATTGAGAGGAGCTTATAAAGGAAAGGATATAACCTGCAATGATAACAGCTTCAGTCAACTAGAGTTCCTTCGTCTTGATAGTCTTGGGAGGCTAGAAAAATGGCATTTAGGCACAAGTGCGATGCCTCTGATTAAAGGTCTTTATATCTGTGATTGTCTACACCTGAAGGAGATTCCAGAGAGAATGAAAGACGTGGTGAAGTTTTCCAAAAGCCTATATGTGGTCTATAATAGGAAAGGTAAATATACTAACAAATCTCAATCCTACATATCTTTGTTCATTTTTCTTTTATATAAATAATATTTGTGTTAAACAGGAGATGAAGCTGTCACTTGAAGACATTCACCTGCATCAAGTTGGTTTGTCAAAGCATCAATCAAGTTGGATTATTTCAACAATTCAGCTTCTTCTTTTTTTTGTTTTGGTTTTCGAATGTTTCATTTTTTCTGTTTTTGGCTTGTTTTAGTGTGTGGAATTTGGTTCAAACAGATTTTTTTTTTTGGGGATTCTATGCTAAAATGATTTTGTGATGATTTAATTAAGGGAAAAAAGGCTCAAATATGCCGTTAAGCTATTATAAATGACTAATTTATGTCATCGCCGTTACAAAACAGCTGAAAGCTAAAGCAGCTAACCAATCAATAGTCATTATACATCAAAATATATTTAGTGACTATAAGAAAATCAATTAGGCATCTTTTGAACTGTTTTGGGGGTATTTAATCTTCTTTTGAGAGTGAAAGAACCAAACAGACACCATAATCTAATAAGTCCTTAAACTTGCCCATTAACAGAAGGGCTTTAAAAGATAATCTCCCTACACTAATAAGAAAAAAATACCTAAAACTTCTCTGAAATCAAAGGTAAGGGTATGGGTCGGGTTAGGAAAATGGGTAGAGTGCGGGTGAGTTATTTTTTTAATGGGTCAGTGTTAGTTTATACGAGTCCACCACGTGCTATGGGACCGGGTCGCTGTTACACTAAAGTGCAGTAAAAGGAAACTAAAATGCAGAGTAAAAACAAGGAGTTTTACGTGGAAACCTCCTTGCTCAAGGGAGAAAAACCACGACCTGTCATGATTTTTCAACTGTCTTCACTATCTTCAAGCAACGAGTGAATACAGATTCCAATCAAACATGCAAGGATTCTTAATCCTACAACCTGTAACACCCCTATTACAGAGAGAGCCAAAGCAATACCTCTATTGCCCACTATATCAACTACCTCTAGTTAATACAAATGTAACAAACCGAAATCCTCACTATATTAATAAGAGCACTGGAACACGATTATGTAACATCCGACAATTAGAAATAACTATGAAGAGGTTTAGAATTGGAAATAGTCATTTTTGGAAAGAATTTAAAAATCTGGAAAATTTGGTTAAGTATGGGAAAAAGTGAATTTTTGGCCAACTTTGAATAGTCATAAATCCTAGCTCAGGATGATTTAGGTGTAGTTCCAGTTATGTTTGCGAAGCTCGTGGGACGATCTTTCCAACACCGTCAATTTTTCTCGATTCTCAGTTTGTATGAGTGAGATATGCCCTTTGGAAGTTGGGCTATTGTCATAGGGGATTCCGTCCGGAAATTTTAAGGGTATTTTGGTCTTTTCCCAAATAATTTCTATTGGTTATATTGAGGTGTTAGGCTTATTTTTAGATCAGTTTTTGCTTTTTTTAAGAGTGAGAGCTAGGGCTTGGGAGAGAAGAGAGAAAGAAGAGGAGAAGAAGAGGAGAAAGAGAAGATCAAACAAAGTTTCGTCAAAGATCATCCTGGATATCGTCGGGGGTGATCCCTACTAGGTATGTGAGATCATAGTGCGGGGTTGGTTCTTTCCCCCAAACACCAAACTTGTTTTAAATTTTGAAAGAAAGGATTGGTTGTGTTGTTGAAAAGTCTTGTTGATGTGGGATATGATTTGGTTGTGTTGAGTTAAATCTCTTGTATATTGAGGGATTTTGTGCTTCTAAATGTCTGGGGCTGAAACCTTTGTTATTGGGAGGGTTTAGAGTTGGAGAAACTAAGGAGGAAAGTCGGATTTTCTGGGAAAAGAGCTGGCGCGTCGCGCCTGTCAGCGCGCCCCAAAAGGGCCTCTGAGGTTTTCCCCTTGGGGCGGCGCGCCTAGCAGAGCGCCAGCAGGCCCCTTCTGATCTTCAAGGGCTGGTGCTCCGCGCCTTGCAGAGCGCCAAGGACGCCAAGTTTCCCCTTTCATTCCCCACCTTCTCATGCATGTTCCATGGTATTGTACCTATGTTTCATAGTTGTTTCCAACACTCCAAAGTACGTCTAAACATCAAGAACTCATCCATAAACATGAGATCGTTACCCTTGAATTCATAATCCAATTCGAGGAAAGTTCGGATCAAAGTCAAGTGAAGTTAAAGTCAAGTCTTTAGAGTTTTTCAAGAGTCTTTATTGAACGTTTTAACTTCATTTTAAGGCTCAAGTTTCAAGTTGAGTAAAGAGTATATAGTTTCAAGTTAAGTCAAGAGTTTAAAGTTGAGGTCATTTCTCAAAACCTATTAGGGAACTAAGTATTCCCAAAGAAGTTTATAAATGTGTTTACATTTGAGTAAAAGGAAAACCATGTTTTCCAAAAGAGCCTTTGGGCTAAGTTTTGAGTAATTACCTCAACTAAAGAAAGATGTGTTTAAAACACTTATGAGCCAAAGTATTTTTGGGAGTAGTATTGAGCACTGAATTGGGGACACGAGTTCATATTAACTCAACTCTCCATAAGAACCATGCGCCAACATGGGACTTGACGGATCATTCTTTTTAGATGATCACGTAAGATTAAGCTAGTGGATTCACTAAGTTAAAGTAAGGTCTTATATCACGGGAAGATATAGGATGGTCCTTGGGCAACGTGAGGTAAAACGTTGTATCACCACTAGGGCTCATAGTGGTGGTTGTCGGTTAAAGAATCTCCCACAAAACTTATATTACTTTTATATAAGTAAAGTTGAGTTGTTATTGTTTTATCATTAACGAGCTAAGTTGTTTACACTGTTTTACAAGTTTTATATATTGCATGTGTCTTATTGCTTTATATATTGAGTTTAGTCATTCATGAGTCGAACAGAGCCAAGGTAAGTGTTCTCTTGCACTATTTTCAAGCTTAAGTTGTGGTTTAGCTTCCCAGCTCGCATACTCGTACATTCCATGTACTGATGCCAGTTGGCCTGCATCTTATTATGTTGCAGACGCAGGTGCCCAGGATCAACATCCAGCACGCCGTTGATCCAGTTGAGCACTCCAGAGTCAGTGGTGAGCCTCCTTGCTTTCCGAAGGACTCGATTATTTTGTTCTCTTAGTTTTATTTTATTAGGATGTTGCGGGGTCTGTCCCAACATCCATTTCAGTATTTTAGAGGCTTCATAGACAGTCAGTCAGTTAGTTTTGAGTCTCTCATCTATGTATATATATAACATTCTATTTTGAGACTCGAATTGCCTTTTGGCCAGATATTATCAGTTGGGTTGTTTTATAACCTTGCATTGCTTTGAGTTAGGTTTCCGCTGAGTTAAGAAAGCCAGGCCAAGGGTTCGCTTGGGGGCCAACAATGGTCTTCGAGTGCCGGCCAAGTCCAGGGTGTAGGCTCAGGACGTGACAGATTACAACCTTAAGATTCTAATTGCAATAATCAAACTACCGAATTACAAAGGAAATATTGAAATAACGAGTAATTAAAGATAGAAGAAGAATGGAGATGAGAAGCTTAGACTTTAGAAGAAGAGGAGAGGACAAACATTTTCTTCAATATGCATAATCCCTAAATCAGTGACCGCTACCCCTTTTGATGGAACCATTCTCACATTCACTACTCGACCCAGATCCCAAATTAACCTGGCCCTATTGCTTGTTCTCGGTCCAATAGCTCTTTCCAGCCAATAACTACTTGTGTGACCTTGGTATTTATATTGGGTTGGACTTGGTTCATAACAATACTCTTGTCCTCAATAAGAACCTTGTCCTCAAGGTTCGAGTAGAGCCACATGGACAATATAATATTGATTCTTCCAAGACTCGAGTGTTTGTAGAGAGCTGTGATAGTGGTGCGAAGTTGAAACCAAACACTGTCAACTTGCAGAATTGAGGAAACAATTTCATTGCCTTCAGAGAATTCCATATTACCAATAATTATAACAGAGGCCACAATTCTAAAAAAAATCCATCTGCTCTCTTTTGCCAAGCCAAACAATTGTCATTCTCTCTTTTATATTAACCGAGTTATGAGCAGAGGTAATACATGCTATTTTATAGCAATAAGATTATTGGAGATAGAAAAATGATTCAGGATCCCTCAATCTACACTTCTTGTTTACCTCCATGGGTGTCTCACAGAGAAGGAAGATATAATGATGTTTCTGTTCCAGAATTATAACAAGAAGGGCTTGAGAGCTTGCGAGGAGAGAGGTTCTCATTGCTGCACCAGATGCTTTTCCAAGCTCTGCAAGTTGAATCTGTTGTGCCACAGTGTGCTCTTCAACACTTCTATGGCCACCGAAATGGGCAAGATAACACATAAGTCTTGTTATAGTTTTAAACTTTCCACAACTAACCAAGATAGAAGTGTTTTTACTCTCAACGAGCACTGACTTGTGAACAACATAACAATCAACAATTGAAGCACCTTTAACCAACTCAACCTCACTATAAATCATAGCCAAACTCCGATGATTATTTTCACAAGCTTGTAGTGCAGCAAATTCATACAGGGAAAATTGGGAGGGAAGTCAACAGTTTTATCACCCAATTCCAAAGTGTCATGCATTATCAGAATAATAAATTCATCAGCACCATATCCAACAAGAATATGCGCAAATTCAAGGGCAGGACCTGTAGCATAACTAGCTAGTAAGCCCTGTGCGCCAAAGAAAATCGTGATATCCTCAAGCGTAGAGAAATTACGCAACAGATGCTCAATCAACTTCGTCATGGACTTGATGCAGCCTTGTAGCCCTCCTGTGAGTTGTGCTAATAGTCGTTGTAGAAATCAAAATAACTTGGGAAGACATATAATATCCAAAGGTGCAAGTATCTCCCGTGATGCAACTCTTACGGAACTGTCATCACATAAACGATTCACCTCAGAGTATATATCATGCACTTCTGATTCCATCATTACCATCTCATCTGCAACATCCCACTTAGCAACACTTTGTTGTCTGAGATCCCACACTTGAGTCAGAAAGTTAGCATAAGCAATGAAACAAAACTTGTTAGTATATCCCAACAACTGTAATGGATCCAAGTTCGTTGTATATGTATAACCTGTTGGATCCATGAAGTTGAAACTAATTTCCAGATCCCATACACAACGATTCGTCA